TTGATATTTGCCATAGACGCACGTATTCTGTGCACGTCGCGGTACGTACCAAGTTAACGCAGTGACCACCTATATGCATCACAATCGTAGCTTGTCATTTATGCCACGACATAAATGACTCGCCTTGCGCGCACATCAGGATATTCGCGTCATGATTTGTCACTCGAATCGGTCATGCGCTAACATTGCGCCACGAAACATTCAAAACGACCACGAAAATGCGGTCAAAGTGTCTTCGCTTGGCAAGAGCTCCGAGCGTAGATTGTAGAGCAGTTGCGCCACACGGACGCGGTGGTCATCTTCTATTAAAGGCAAAATGCCAGAGGCCCGCCTACAGCACGATGTCAGAGCACGTTAAAGAATACCGCATTATCAAAATTTCCGGAGCCCTCCACGAAAGCGTGGCTCATAATCATATCGTGGCATTGTCACGTAGGACTTCATGTAATTTTACACATGAAAACTTCGTATTTTAAAATATACAACGTTTATTACTGAAAGGCAAGGACCTCCTTAACATAACTAGGTTGCGCGAAAAAAAATTGAAGTTCAAAAGGAAGACACCTGAACACAGCCCACTGTTCAGGTGTCTTGCTTTAGTACTTCAATTTTTACTTGAACATTTTTACTTGAACTTCGGACATTTCTTACTTGAACAAGGGCTTACACTACAACTAAGCAAGATGCCACACGTTATTATTTCCACTTACGTCAATGTGCTACCGACTTGCTGTTCTATAATTCAAACGTAATGGATTACACTGCTTGTGGTTTTGTTGCATCACTGGAGGGACAGCACTGAGGTGCTTTCGCGTTGCGTAACATTTCCAATCGCGCCGCTCCTGGTGCCCCTCCCTCGGCCAAACCGGGATGCTTCCTCTTCGGCTGTCTTTGAAGTGACACAGGCGATCGGCAAAACGGGTCGTCTATATTTATTACGTTCCCAAGCCGGAAACGAACCGTTAAATTGAAAATAGCATGGCACCCACACGCGAAATATTTCATCGTCTATAATAGCACTCAATCGCGCTTTCGTGGCTACAGCCACGCATGCAAGGCACGGCAGTCTCCACGTATCTCAAATGGAACCTACTGCGCGTACAGTGTAAGCTCATGCGACGCGTTTCCTCTTAGAGCACTAAAAGCTTGGAGAAAAGCAGCTCGCGTATAAACAAATCACAGCTAGACAACGTCCTGTGCTAGGTGTCTACTTTAATTTCAAGTGCATTGACTTCCGGGACGCGTCCTCAGTCATACTGATCAGATATGGCGCTGCTGTTCTTTTCAATAAATCCCCACGTCTTTCTTTTTTATTTCTTTTTATTTTGCGGGCTACAGTTTTTGAGTCGTTGAGCAATATTCTGATTTATTGAACCAACCGCGCCCCGTCAGTTCTTCCGAATGTATACTACTTTCCTATGTGATATTGTATCCAAAGAAGCTGAATAAAATTGAATTGAATTGAAACAGGCCACTACTACTTGCACACATAATATTATTCTTCACAGTGCAGTAAAACTCATAACTGGACGGGTGTGTATGAATACATTATTTACACATTACAAAGTGCTATTCATTCTTATCAATGTCAGCGGAATTCCTACAGTCACCTGTGTACTTCACGTTTTTATCAACTCAGAACTAACGCGCTCGTACTAATATTTAGGTGATCGCAAAATAACTCTGTGTAATAAAAATTAACCCCTCGCGATATATATATATATATATATATATATATATATATATATATATATATATATATATATATATATATATATATATGTGTGTGTGTATGTATGTATATGAGATCTGACAGACAGTACTGCCAAGGCATGTGTAGGGGAAGTTATTAGAACAAATGGAATGTAAATAAGAAGAAAGAAATGTGGGTGAAAAAATAACTAGCCGTTAGCAGGAATCGAACCTACGACGTCGAATAACGCGTTCGATACTCTAACCACTGAGCTATGACAGCGGCCTTCCCTCCATCCACTTTTTTGGAGGGTTTATATGTGAATATAGAAGTAGGAGTGTCAGTCAGCGCCATCTATAAGCCAACCGGCGAGTGTGAAACACCCTTTTATGCGCATGTGTGGCGTCACGTAGCACGTGAACTTATTACGAGTGGGCAGCTGACCAATAGTCCCTCGTATACAACCTAATGACACCAAGTCTGCCAGTACGAGACCCTCGTTAATGAATAAGGGAGAGAAGTGTATACTTCTTTCGAGGGTCTCGTACTGGCAGACTTGGTGTCATTAGGTCATATACGAGGAACTATTGGTCAGCTGCCCGCTCGTAATAAGTTCACGTGCTACGTGACGCCACACATGTGCATAAAAGGGTGTTTCACACTCGCCGCTTGGCTTATAGATGGCGCTGACTGACACTCCTACTTCAATATTTCCATATAAATCCAAAAAAAGTGGATGTAGGGAAGGCCGCTGTGATAGCTCAGTGGTTAGAGCATCTAACGCGTTATTCGAAGGTCGTAGGTTCGATTCCTGCTCACGGCTCGTCATTTTTTCACCCACTTTTCTTTCTTCTTATATACATTCCATTTGTTCTAATAACTTCCCCTATACATTTCTTGGCATTACTGTCTGTTAGATCTCATTATTTTGTGTCAAAAACACGGAAAAACGAGCCCTTAGGTATACACTTCTTTCCCTTATATATATATACATATATATACATATATATATATATATATATATATATATATATATATATATATATACATATATATATATATATGCGAAATCTGCAGTATATATATATTTTCGTACTAGAGTGCCGTGCTTGGGTGTGGAGGGGGGGGGGGGGGGGGTGAGCTCTTACTCCACTGAAAGTAGGTCTTTATTCAGGATGAGAACGAGCAATGTCAGTCATGCTCCCTGATATGTAGCAACATTATACCCCCCCCCCCCCCCTTTATCTTCACAAGTAACGAAGTTCTCACAGTGCAAGCACTTCATACATGGCTCATGCGCAGTCGTACTATGTAGTAAAAATGTCAGGAAGCAAAAGCAAAGAAGCAAGAAAATATGATGTTACGTGCAGCATGAGGCGATAAAATTGATTTTATGTTCCTCAGCACTTATGGTTGCTTCCTTCAAGTGTGTAAGCTTGACTGCTTTTCAAACAACCATTTTTCTTTTCCTTAAAGCTTGAAGTTCACTCTACTTTATGCTCGACTGCATCCCAAGACCTACGCTAGCACTCTTCCTGAAGATATGGTTCCTTCTCATTGTTTCGAATCGCCTATCTTACATTCACGACTACAACTTATAATTACTTTTCAGCGAATGCATATGCAATGCAAATACAACAGTACAAGCATTCAGCGGTGGGCACGTCTGTGTAAAGCACGCAAGCAGCCAGTTTTCACTAAGCCGGGTGGCACCTTCAGGCAGTTTCGGGCTCTGACGTGGTGTGTCAGGACCATGCGGGACCCAGTAGTTAGGCTGACAACGTCACAGCCTGAAAGTGCCGTCAGGTGCCACCCCGCATAACGAAAACCGGCTGCTTGCGCGCTCCACAAACCTGACCGCGGCTGTACGTTTGCATTGTTCAAGCCGCCCAAATGATCTTTAACGGTATCGTAAACTGAGTTTCTCTGGATGCTAAGAACTTACGTGCCAAAAACCGCGGTGTATAAGTGCGCTGTAGTTGGAGACTCCGGAACAATATTGACTAGCCGTAGCTCTCAACGCGTAGGTATATTTGTACTTCTCGTCATTTCGCATCCATTGAATGCGTCCAGCGAAGCCGGCAGTCAACCCATGCTGTCTTATACTCGGCATCACGACACGATAAGGGAAGTCAGCAGGGTGGGCGTAATATTAGTTAGTTTCAAGAATCAAGCAATAAAAATATGCTAGTCCCTTTTTTTCTCGATAGTAAGTTTTCCATTGTTTCAACCCTCGCACTTTGTAGCCCTTTAATTGCGCATTAGTTCATAACGCCTTTCAAATCTCCCTTTCGACCGCTTTGCATTCAAACTCTCTGACCGTATAACATGGCCTCTTCAACGGGCCACAATTCCACAGTTTGCAACAATAAAGCAATTTGCCTTTTAGTTCTTCATTTTTTGGCATGTTGAGTGTGAAGTCATTTCCGCCCTTCACGGAGTAAACGGCACATATAGCATCCGCAAGAATATAATGGCTACAATGAGCGAGTCTTTCAGTGAAATTGTTATTCCTAATTTTACCCGGTAAGCTGTTAGACCTCCGGTGACGTCGAACGGGGCGAAACAATAGACAGAGCACACACGCCCACATATAACATAGCTTGCTCCTTAGCGCCACTGTTGCAGGCTGACATAAGATGTAGTTCCCCGTGTTGCGGCCAGACATAGCTCCACGCCTTCAAGGCTACGCCCGCGTAGACTTCAGCTAGAGTATGGCGCACTCAACCGTACACGTTTTCCGGCAACGAGTCGCGTCGCACAAGGAAAGGAAAGACGACAAATCGGGTATTTGTGCTATGGGCTTGCAGGGCACCCCTAGCCATTTTCTCATTTGGACGCGGACACACTTGTTTTGGCGATTTTGTAATGGTTTCTTTTTCGCCTTGGTCCCTTATAACTATCGGACCGAATAACCTGCCTTGTAATTCGTTTCGCGTCTCGGGTGCCCACTGTTCCGCCCAGTGCGTTCTGTCGAGTCGCCGCGCGCAGATTGTCCGGAAGCATGGCCCGTGACAGCCTTGCCCGCGCCCCATCAGTGATAATAATAAAAAAGGAGAAACGTAATAATGATTCTCGACACAAATCATAAACCGCGAACACGGCGAGGACCACGTGCCACGGTTATTCTTGATGACGTCACGCGAAGAACTCTCGTCGCTGTCCCGGTGCGCGCGTTCGCACCCGTTTTCGTCATGTAGCTGCCATGATTCTCGACACGGCGCACGTTTTCATGCACCGTTTTCGTCACCTTGGCGTCGCTTCGGTCGCAGTCAGCTGATACTTGGAGACCAGAAAAGGGCACGCATGGGTAGCGCTAACGCCATTCCGCGGTGCGTGCGTAGCTGAACGCAGTACACTTTGCCCCCTCCTGTCTGCATCGACGTGCACGATTCACCACTACGACAGAGCCATGGCTACCTCCATTACAGGATCGTTCACGTACAACGCTACTGAATCCTGGCTACCCCGTCGCGACCCGCGGTCCGAAGGCTGGCCTCTCACCGGAAGTCCCCTGCCTGTAGCTATTATCACGGTTGTGTACGTCTTCTTTGTGACGAGGTTTGGCCAACGCTGGATGCGTCGCCGCAAGGCTTTTGACTTGAAGCCCTGCATCCTGGCCTACAACTTTCTGACCACGCTGTTCAGCGCCTTCTTCGTGGTCTGCTTCGCCAAGCTGGCCTACTGGGACCTGGGCTACACCATTCTGCAGGACCTGGACTTGGGCGTCACTCCAGCGAACCTCGAGATCGTGCGCCTCTCCTGGTGGCTCTACATGTTCAAGCTTGCCGAGCTGTCCGACACGGTGTTCTTTGTGCTCCGCAAGAAGAACCACCAGGTGAGCGGGCTCCACGTCGTTCACCACGTGCTCGTCTCGTGGAACATGTGGCTGTCGGTGACCTACGGCTCGCAGTCGCACAGCATGTTCGTCGTGTGCCTCAACTCGTTCGTGCACGTCTTCATGTACGCCTACTACTTCCTCGCCGCGCTCGGACCATCCGTCCGTCGGTTCCTGTGGTGGAAGAAGTACCTGACCATGATGCAGATCGTGCAGTTCGTCCTGCTCTTCGCCCACGCTGTCGGGACGGTGCTCGCCACCGGCAACTACGTGCGCCTCTTCACCTGGCTCGAACTCGCCGAGGCCATATTGTTCTTCGTGTGGTTCGTCGCCTTCTACGACGACGCGTACAAGAGCAAGACGCAGTGAGTCCCTTCGTCAGGGACTCCTCACTTGGATTGCAATGACTCTTTTCTGGACCATCTGCGGTATTTGGGCGTGCAAAGTGGACTGACAACAAACTGTAAGCTTACGGTTCTTTTTATTGCGCAGTGAACATTACTCTTCATGCTTTGTCGCGCTACCTGCCATTGTTCATAAGTATTTGGTTTTTAACCAGCACAGGGCATTCTACGTTTAACTGCGTAGACTTTTACAGGCTCATTCATTTTAAACTTCGTGGAATCACCATCATGCGTACCGGAGTTCCCAATTCATCAGTGCTCTCCTGCATTCTGTGGTACATTTTTACCACCCCTCAGCTGGGTTACATTTATGTTCCCGTACATCGTCACCTACCCTTCCTACTCTATTCAACTACCTAGAAAATGTTCATTCTTCATCTTCATAACCCGACCTGTACCATATTCATTCACTTTTACGTGGTAAGCAAAACTAACGGCCGCGTAAGTGCCGTACACTGGAACCAAAGACCAGGAGTTTTCGTAGAAATTAGCCGCTCACAATCCTGGACGCCAACGCCAATTTGTGTGCCCATGACATTGACGCAAGCCGGCAGTTAGTTGTTTACCTACGCATTGCATTGCACTGATATACCCTTTTGGGAACATTTTTCATTGCAGCCAAGTTTGTCACAACGAAATGTGGCAACTCATTTTCTTATTACTCTTATTTGGCTTGTCACAACCACCTTTTATGAAAATAAAATATCGTGGTTCGTGTACTCCTGTCTTGTTATCAACACAGACTGGCGCATTCTCCTGACTGGTGGTAGAATGCGCAGAGTGTTGTCAATGTCGTAAGAAGTGCGTATCTCATTTTGTTGTTGCACCACACCATAACTTGCTGCACATCGCTTTTTCCGCCTACAAGGGTGCGATCTTCGGTATTGAAATCATTTCGTTCTTTAGCAAGAGCAGCTGCTTTTAGCACTGCAAAAACTGCGGATGCTACTTTTTTTTTCAATGACATTGCGTCTCTAGGCAACACTCCGTATAGAATACTAAACCATTTGCGATTGTGGCATGACCCCATGTGTCCGCGCGGGCGCTGCGTCCCGATGTACCAGAGCATCGCACTCCCTTCTACTGGTGTTGTAAGGGTCTGTGATGGGTTCGCGATGCTATGTCATGGCTTTTAGAAGCTTTTGCGGGTACAAGTAAGAAATTCCGCACGTAGTTTTGCTCCCGTCAGTCGGAATCATTCGACAGCAGATAAACTTTAAGCCTGTGCGCGCGCAAAAAAAAAAAAAAAGTGGCTGGTATAAATGCGCAACACATGAAGCGCAGTACGCGCAGATATAACCCGTGAATAGACGTTCCTTCATAAATATTCACCTGAGGTATACGCACGACGTTGTTTAAAACGAATGGAGTCGGTGATACACGTGCAACCACCTACGGAGGTGGGTTTTTACATCTGTAGTAGAATGAAATTACGTTTACGTTTTTGGCTACTCGTTTTATTTCCTGCATCACGAAAATTCCATTTCTAGTGTCGCAGTACTTTGCTACATAACACGCTTGGCATCGCAAGATCGTTGCACACATCGGCATGTAGAAAACGAAACGCACACCAAACTAGCCGTAGTTAATGGCAGTAAAAGCAAAGTAGAAGTTATAACTATAATGCGAGCTGGACATCTATCGTTATTAGCACTGTTTCATTTGCAAACGTACCCTACTGTGTGAATGTTCACGATAAATGCATGCTTCTTCATAGTTGTGTTGAAGTCTTCAAATTATGCAACAACAGTATTCTCTTTCGACAATTGCAGTGGTTGCAGCTAAGAACCAATTCACACACCCCATGAAGCCATGTTGCGATTCTTTACCTTCGAATGTACAGTTGGCGCGAAATCTTTGCACGGAATAGTTCGAATCCACGCTTCTTTCTGTGCATTGGACAAAAAAAAAGTATGGCTGCCGGAGACTTCTCGGTACGCAGCACGCGAGAAAAGGAGGCTGTGAAGAAACCTGAATAATTCTGAGAGGGTGTTGCTCGAAGTCAGTGTAAACACGGTAACACTTCTCAAGTCGTTCAGTCTATTTTTTTAATCTTTCCTTTTACAACGGACAGTCGTTTTTGCTTCAGGCCACATAGCTTTTCAGTAGAGTATACTAGAAGACTGGAGGACTTGGAAAAGGCGCAGTGCCGATGTACAGAAAGTGAAGGCCACACAGGGACAATCCGCTTGTATATCGCTGCGATTGATAGTCTGCAATGTGTCATCGTATAAGAGTTGCGCGCAGCTGCACCAAACTGGTGCCGGGTTGAATACCCGCTTGACACTGAAAAGGCCCGAGTTCGAATCGCAGTTGTCGATTGTGGGTTTTTATTTTAATGTCACTTGTAATAGCTGTATTACTTTTCCCTTCTTTTTTTTTTTTTTGAAGCAGGCTTCCGTTGCTGCGTAGAGCTACAAAAAGTAAAGCACAATCTCGTTTGGGTGACGTATTTACTCAAATATCGGAGGCCGTACTTTACTTTTTTTGTTGGATGCCATGGTGGCCCTGCACATAACTACACTTATTGTCACATTCCTTCTACGCCACTTCCCATTTTGTAGCGATACGTAGCAACTAAACCTATAGTGTTCAGAAACAAAGGAAAACTAACGTAGCTTTAAAAACCAATGCTAAAAAAATAAACGGCAGCGATCCAAAGCGGCCCTTTTGAGTGGGAAGCGCGCATTCTCCTTTGCTCACAACTCGTAAAGGACGACACGTTACAGGCGACCGATAACTGCGCCACAAGAGGTTTGGACAAGTTTGGGCTTCACTTTTCGAAGCTCCTTCCGAGAACTCGTGCTGATTGTACGCGTTGTGGCAACCTATTTAATGTGAAGTAGTCGAGTGGGGTTCGCATCAGGTATGTCTAATGCCAGTTTTGTCGACGTTACTGTTGACGGATATCCACAAGAGCTTCGGCATGTCTTACGCGAGCTTCGTCGACGTTACCATTGACGGAGATGTACAAGAACTTCGGCAATCTAATGCGAGCTTGGTGTTAACGTATAACTACAAGAACTTGCATTTTGAGCAGTGGGTCTGGACAAGTTATTCAGATTGACGGTTCAACCACACCAAGGGGATATGTAAGAGAGTTAACGAAGTGTTTCATCTCGGTAAATGGCCCTTTTTAGATCGAAAGCCTCACTGGACAGTCATGCGCGATCTCTCACACAATGGCGCACATTAGTTTTTTTCGCTTTCAGAAGGCAGATTTCACGACCAACCGAGGTAGTTTCGTGTATGACATTACACTTGTGACGTCGTATATTTGACCCTTTCCACGGCGACCATTGACTGATGGCAGCAAAAAGATAAAACCATCGCGTGGTTGTGATTCGGCGCGTGGGTTCAAGAACGGTGATAGTATATAGAAGATAAAACGAGGTGTTTCCGCAACAGCCTTTGCCGTATTGTGAGAGAGTGGATTTGGCTAATAACATACGCGTTTAAGAATTTCGAAGATTTGACCTCATATGCACTGAATGTAGCGCAGTGATCTTTACCTTTTTTTCTTGTAAGCTTAAGTATTTTCAACATTCTGAATGATATTGAAAAATATATTAGATCAGCGCATCACTTTAAGAGCATTTTCGTGCTTGTCTAACCATGACACGCCCTTTTCGTACACTTAATAGAAGAAGACTGAAATAATTTTATACATCTTATACCATCAGCGAGGCAACTAAAATAAAGTGTATCTTTCGTGCGCATGCCATTTTTTTTTATTCCATTATAGGCGTCAAGTGAGAAGCTAACAGCGGCCAGCATTCGTATTGGTATTTTGCAACATGAATAGGCACGCATACGCGCAGTACTGTCAAACTGGATGCACGTACCTGTCGATGGATATGACTGGACTGTGCGCACTACACCACTCTGAATAGCTCTAGCTGCTCAATTTGCATTTACGCCGAAAGTACTACGTAGCTTTATTGTGGCTCAGGTCAATGCACGACGAAAGCACCGGAAAATTCAAACTGTGCTTTACTTTTTCTGTTCATTTGCCACAGGCAGGGTTAGAAGGGTTGCACTGACAAATCTTCTCCTTTCGCTTCGAGGGACAAAGAATATTTACTGAAAAGGGGGAGGGGCGGGGGGGGGGGGAACGAAGCATTAGGGCGACTGTTTCTTTGTTGCTTCTTTATCAATCAATCAGTGTTTATTCAATGAACTTCATACAAAAGTGTTTACAAAGTATATGGACCATTAGTTTGTGTGGCTAGTTACTGGTCCAATATAATACATGAATATTTTTTACAGGTCAAGAGCAGAGGAGCATACGATGCGAATATGAGTCTTTATACAAGTTCAATAATTGAGTAGATTCAAAGGTATATATATATAATGAAAACCACATGGCAATAAATAAGAAATTGCTGCTAAATTTAAAGTACAGAAGTAATAAAGGAGAACTAATGGCATACATTGTGTAAAAAAATACGAAAGACGGGGCACCTAAAAGAATGGGCAGAATTTCTGCATAAGGCTACGTTGAAGAATAAATAAGAAAAAACAACAAAGGGAAAGATATGTCATGACATGAAAAAACAAAGCAAACAACAAACATATCAAGACATGAAAAAAAGAATTACGGACGTGATCATCACTGTGGTCAAGAACACGACTGATTGAGAAATGTATTTTGCAAGTCAAATTAAATTTGCGGTCAAGTTTACCTTCAATTGGAATTGTGTTCCAGATTTGAGCACCAGTGAACTGAATTAACCGCTCACCATATACATTCCTACGATTGGGAAGGTTAAAGTTGTCATTGCCTGCATGCCTTGTGTGGCGGGTAGGTGCAGCAAACGTACTCACGTGTACTAGAAAGTCGGTGTTAATTATTTAATTTATCAATACAGCGGTTTAATAATTTCTCTGAGACGTGAAAGGCAGTATCCGAGTAGAGAAAAACAGATCGGAGCTTGTGGTAGAAGACGTAATGATTCCTAGGGCGCGTTTTTGTAACCGTATACGATCGGTTTGATGTACGTTGGATAAGTAAAGCCCCATATCTCGTTAGAATAACTGATTTGAGAGTGAAATATAGAGAAGTATAATGATCGAAGCACGTTATATGGAAAGCAACATCTGGCTTTAATGAGCGTGAAACACGCGAAAGCTAGCTTATTGGATATGTAATTAACCTCATCCTTCCAATTCATGTTTTTGTCTGTTTTTTACCCCCAAATATTCACACTTGGAAACTCGCTCAATGGGCGAGTTGTTGATTTACAAGTGAAGATGGCTATATTCTAGATTTTTTTCCTCCTGGAGTGAAATATAACGTACTTAGTTTTGGCTATATTTAATGCAAGCTTGTTGCGGGCGAACCATGTGGAAATATGTGAGAACTCTGCCATGACTTGTTCTTTTAGCGAACGGAGAGAGTTACCTCGAAAAAGTAATGCGGTGTCATCAGCGTACATTATGGTTTTGCATGAAAGAACCGACGGTAGGTCATTTATGTATAATGAAAATAACATAGGCCCTAGCACGGTTCCCTGGGGATGTTATTTTTCTAAAGTCTGAGGATATGCCATGAAACACATTTTTTTTCTACCTGCATAATAACTAGAAAAAAAACTGAAGTGTCTTGTCAGTAAAGCCATAATGAAATTCCAATTTCTTTAGTAGTATGAAATGGGAAACCGTATCGAATGCTTTTTCGATATCCAGAAAAACGCTGACGGTAATTTCAGTATCAAGA